GGGTCCTATCTGGGCCATTTTGCAAGAACCTTAGCCTGCGGCTGAATCGCGAACCACAGAACGCCGACGCAATGCGTTGAAGGCACCAATCAGTGGGCTTCCAGCACTCCCTACAATTGGACAAGGAGGGCATCTAAAAGACTTGCCAATCGAGCTTTCCTATCATCCATGGACGCCGGGCCTTGTTGCTAAGTGCAATTCGCAAGCACAGCCAAGGGCACAACAAACGAGGGCAGGACTATAAAAGCAGGCGCCTGAGCGAGTTACAGGAGGCCGGCTGCAGCTGGGACCTAGCAGCTAAGCATTGAACCCCCACGACGGAAAGCGACATAAAACACTTCCTCTCGATTGCCTCACAGCTGCACACGCACGACCAGCTCAGAGACTCACCGGTGTGGTGCCTACAGGCACAGTCGCACCACCCTCGCCCTGTCAAGATGCATTCGCAACCGCAACAACGCACAAACACAACGCGTACAAGCCCCCACATCGAGCCTCCTGCATCCCATTAGTCGACCTCGCAGGCGACAAAGTGCTGACAAACGGCACCACCAAGCAATTCCTGACGAACTGCCAGCTGATAATCACTTCCAGCGACTTGCCGTTGCTTGAGCGCCTGTAGAGGGAGTCGGTGTGGCCTGTTCAGTGGCACACAAAAAGACGAAAACAAAAGGTTCATGCCCCTAAAGTGAAGCATCTTGCGCGACCTCACCAGATGAGAAACCCGGGTCGAAGCTGTGCATCGGACAATAGCATGCATGCATCTAAAGATATTCCTTTTGACAAAGCAACATTCCCAACAGATTTACAACCACGACATCTTAGAGAATTGCTAATAGTACGTGTCTCTGCGTGAACACCGTTGTCTCTCCCAGTTCAATGGCACTTGCAAGCAACAAACAACACAATCGAGAACAGACAAATGAAGCCAGGCCTGTGCATCTGCGGCATCAGCAGGGCGATAGCCTCAGCTGTGCGGCTGAGTATTGACACCCCACGACGGATAGCGACATAATACGCTTCCTCTCGATTGCCTAACAGCTGCACACGCGCGACCAGCTCAGAGACTCACCGGTTTGGTGCCAACAGTCGCAGTCGCACCACCCTCGCCCTGTCAAGAGGAATTCGCAACCGCAACAACGCACACACAGAACGAGTGCAAGCGCCCGCATCGAGCCTCCTGCACCTTATTAATTAGACGCCAACACGAGCACTGCTGCAACAGGTACAAGTGCCTGAAACGCGACGTCTTTCCGCGCTACAACAGACAACAACTCTAAGGCGGAGCCGAGCACTGGAGCATAACGGGCGGGCATTACACTAGTTAAACCTTGAAAAACTACTAACAGATGCACGATATCAATGTCCTAGACACGTACCGCTGCTCCTCCCGAACCACCACCACCCAGTGCTCGTGCCTGCGTATCAGCATTGGAAAACGCAAGAAGATATGCAGGCAAAAACCCGGCAAATTTGGGTCCTATCTGGGCCATTTTGCAAGAACCTTAGCCTGCGGCTGAATCGCGAACCACAGAACGCCGACGCAATGCGTTGAAGGCACCAATCAGTGGGCTTCCAGCACTCCCTACAATTGGACAAGGAGGGCATCTAAAAGACTTGCCAATCGAGCTTTCCTATCATCCATGGACGCCGGGCCTTGTTGCTAAGTGCAATTCGCAAGCACAGCCAAGGGCACAACAAACGAGGGCAGGACTATAAAAGCAGGCGCCTGAGCGAGTTACAGGAGGCCGGCTGCAGCTGGAGCCTAGCAGCTAAGCATTGAAACTCCACGACGGAAAGCGGCATAAAACACTTCCTCTCGACTGCTTAACAGGTACGGACGCACAAACAATATAGAAGCTGACCTCTGTTTTAGATTGGGCCTTCGCGCCGGGTGTGGCCTGTTAAGAGGCATCCGCAAGCGCCACAATGCACAAAACGGAAAAGTACAAGACGCCACGTCTATCCTGCTGCCTTAGTAGCGCGACTGCACGCCAAGCACTGTTGCAGGAAATTCTGGAAAAAAGGCTAGCAGCCCATTCCTGCTTAACTGCCAACTGATAATCAAGCATGCAACGGTCAGAGACTTGCCGGCGCGCCTGTGGCCTTGGCGGGGGCCTCCGGTTTACGCTGTTTTGTGGCACACGCAAGAACACAACAACACACAAAAGGAACCGGCACAAGTCGCGCAAGCGCATCGTCTCTCCTCACCGACCCAGACGACAAAGCTAAGTCGGCGGCAAGCACTGGAACATAGCACACGGACAAGACATTTAAAGATCTTCCTGCTCTGCCTGCAACACTCCCGCCAGATGCATAGGGACGGCTTCCTAGATACGTGCCGAGGGCACCTGCCTACCCCCTGACGCCACGCGTGTCTGCACGTGTAATACCACTTGCAAACAACTGACAGAGCAACCGAGAACAGCACTATGAAACCAGGCTGGTGCCCCTGTCCCATGAGGACGGTCACACCTTGGGCCTAGCAGCCGAGCATATAATGCAGGCGAACAACGCCCTCAGCCACCGCCCCCGGACCGTCTTACAATTACACACGAAGGAACTGCAGGGTCACTCACCGGTGGTGTGGCT